CTGCGTCGGGCCATTCAGAACAAAAGAAGGGGGATGTTGACGGCAGGTGTGTCCCTTCTTCACGACAATGCTCGGCCGCACGTCGCTGCTTCAACAACTGCACTTTTGAATCAGTTTAGTTGGGATGTTTTGACCCACCCACCGTATAGCCCGGATCTAGCACCATCGGACTACCATCTTTTTACGAAACTGAAGGAGTCCTTGGCCGGAAAACGCTTCCAAAGCGACGAGGAAGTTCAGACAGCTATAACTAACTGGACTAAAGAACTGGCGGGAAGTTTCTATGCAGAAGGGATTTCGAAGCTTGTTTCCAGATATACAAAATGTATTGAGATTGACGGGAATTATGTAGAAAAAGACTAGAAGTTGTCAAGTATTATCCATGTAAATTTTAGATTTTTTCAATAAAAACTTTATTTGTAAAAAAAAAACGGAACTTATTTTCTGGATACCCCTCGTACATAAAAAATGGTTATTTATTCGTGTTGCAAAAAAGTTTTATCGGACAGTGTTATTAATGAAACAGCTAATGAATTATTACTTGCGTATTAAGAATTAATGATAAATTTTAATAATTAATTACATAATATATACTTAATTATTAAAATTATATATTATGTAGTTTACGTAAGTTAAATGACAATCGTACTTTTAGAGCTTCCTCGTTAATAATGAAACGACTGTTTCGACCGTGGTATTGGATTGAATGGTTGTTCTATTCAGTGCCTACAGGGAAACAGTTTAAATCATCGCTTGATATATTGCATGGATTTACAAAAGAGGTATACTATAGAAATGCTAAAAATGTTTTTTGTATTTAGTGATTTAAAACAGTGTTAAAGTTTTAATAACATTTTTACATTATTTTGTTTGAGGAATGTTCATATTTATACACGATAAATTTCATATAGGTGATAAATAAGAGAAAGATTGAACGACAATCGCAAAACGGCCATATGGAATTCGAAAATGAAGACAATGAATTTAACATAGGTGGGATTGTAAATTTGAATTATATATTGTACTTTATACTGATTATATTGTAGATACATAATTAGGTACTTTATAAATATTCTTTATTTAATAAAATTTATTATATTATATTAGGTAAACGTAAAAGACAAGCATTCTTAGATCTATTATTAGATCAGAATGCGAAATCTGACACCCCTTTGACCGATGATGAGTTGAGAGCGCAAGTCGACACGTTCATGTTTGAGGTAAGATGTCCGAAATTAAAATTAAAATTTTACAATTTTTGTAACATAAAATTTTCTCTTTAATTAAATTAGCAAGATAATGTATGAAGATAATGTATCTGATACAGATAATCTGTAAAATTATCTGTAAAATAATATAAAAATGTTAATAGGGACATGATACAACTGCGGTTGCGATAACTTGGACGCTCTTTCTTTTGGGCGATAATTTAGAGCATCAGGCAAAAGTTCACGAAGAACTCGAGGAGGTTTTCGGAGCTTCAGAAACATCAGCCAGTATAAAGGAGCTGTCGAAATTAAAATATCTCGACAGAGTCATAAAGGAGACACTCCGAATATTTCCGAGTGTACCTATGATCTCAAGGACACTAACGGAAGATGTAAAAATAGGTAAGACATAACTTTATCTGCTACTTAAGTAAGAATTTCAAAAAAATGCATTAATATATAAATTCATTTATAATAAAGTAATTAAATTAAAGGTCCTAATCAAGCAAATTCGAATCGAATCGAATCGAATCTGTGACAACATGTTCGAAAACGAATCTGAAATCTTTACACTGAATCAAATCGAATCGAATCTTTTTGATTCGAAAACGAATCAAATTCGAATTAAATTTTCACATACTGACAGCTAAAAAAATTTAAAAGCTGAAAAAATTCATTTTGAATGTATAAGTACATCAAAAAGAGTTGATAATGTGACACAAATATATTAAAAAAATAAATCGTATTTGCATATAGTAAATTATACTATGAAATGTAGTAACAAACATAATTAAAAGTACCTAGAATCATAAATCTATTACTACCAAGATTTAAATTGATAACAAAGTTAAATGATTATTACGAAATCATATGATAAATACAACCAAAATTGTTAAAATAATTGTTTTAAACAAAATAATTTGATAATTGTGACCAAATAATCCCTTTTATGTAATAAAAAAATTTATATGGTTGTATTTTAACGAAAAAAATAATTTTTTTGTTACTATTACTTTTTTTATTTTCCCATTTTAATTCATTATTTATTGTTTTGCATACCTATATTCTATCTTATTAACTAGAATTAATTATTAAAAAACGCATTGCATCATCGGTAAAATTTAAACTTACGATTCCTAGAATAGTCTAATACATTTACGCTGAGCTAATCGCTTATGATAAAACATTGCTAACGTTACTTATACTCCTACTGTAACCATTCTTAATTTCAGCCTCTGCTGCCAGTTTAATATTATTAATATTTGAGGAGATTACATAGAACGAAATAACATGCTGGTATTTATTAACATAGGAAATGACAAAGCGATTCTCCTTAGTCTCGAGAGTTTCGGTCATCCGACCGTGGCGGGCATGTTTCGTCTCGCTGCGATCTGAGTGTTGCGTGTTTTATTTTTGAGCATGTGTGACCGGCTTTGACTGTGAATTTTTATTCCTATAGTTTTTTTTAAGAAAAATATTAAATTATTATTTATGTAAATGTGGTCAAATATACTATTGCTACACGCAAAAAAAAATTTGGAATTAACTGAAGTTGTGGTGGAAAATGAATGATCCAGAATTCTAATTAAGCTTACTAGATTTCTGGTTAAATTTAAATTGATAGAAAGTTCTGGTTATTTCAAACAGAATTCTAGTAGATGGGAATTGGTTATTTTAACTAGAATTCTGGTAAATTATGAATTTATTTTGAAACATATAGTATTTCGCTATTAAATTGATATTTTATTATATGCTCCGACATTAATTATGCGTTAATGTTCAAATAGATTCCGTATAGAAGCAACAATAATTTCTTAAAAATGTCATTGTATATATTTGTATTATTATTATACATAATCTTGAAGTTGTTGGGAGGGCTCTGAAGCACCTTCACCACTTATCAATATCGACATGCTTGAGTGCGCGAATATCAGCTCCGTGACATAAACTTTGATTGCTATTAATTTAAAAATTATTATAGTCTCGATTTTCATATTAGTATTTTTATCTTAGAAAGATGTCAAAGAATCCATTTTTGAAAGGACGTTTTTGAAGCATCCTATATATGTATACATTAATTTGTTTCTCTTTTATTTTATAGATAATTATATACTTCCGAAAGGTGTCATGATCACATTGGCAATCTTATTAACACACCGAAATTCGATGGTTTGGCCGGATCCATTGAAATTCGATCCGGATCGCTTTCTTCCAGAGAACTCGAAGAACAGAAATCCGTACGCCTATGTTCCGTTCAGTGCTGGACCAAGAAACTGTATAGGTCAGAAATTCGCTCAACTCGAAGAAAAAATCGTGTTGACTACTATCCTCAGGAAATGGAGAGTGAAAAGTGTGAAAAGCGTCGACACGATTAAGTTCGGTGGTTCTCTCATTTTACGACCAAGTGAAGATGTATTATTACATTTCACGCCGAAGAAATGAATAATTTGCTATCAAATAAGATAGTTGGCCCATAAATCGTCAAGGTACCAGTAATCGCCAAGTCCACTATTAAAGATGCATTTTAGTGCTTTCTGTCGATCGTGAAGCTTGCTAATATTTTTATTAGTTCCAAGGAAGTATTTACAATGTTGTGTTATATATTTTATATCGTATATGTTACACGCACACACACACATGTATATATATATATATATATATATATATATATATATATATATATATATATATATATATATATA